TGTACTAACAATTACGCCGCGTATAACGTTCGCTCAAAGTAAGTTGGATATTGGTTTATTATTTTTTTTATTATTATTATTATTATTATTATTATTATTATTATTATTATTATTATTATTATTTGTCACATATGTGTATAAATGTATGGGCTATTTGTAGAGAATTTGCTGGCCAAAGAAATAATTATGATATACATAATACGAATAGCACGGTAGACTTCCTTGAATAACCAATGATGGAAAGAAATTGGACTACGGTTGGATATGTACGATAACGTGACAAGTAGGCTATTCGATTGACAAAATTTTAATAAATCTGTATAGCAATAACTAATTCAAAGAAAGTGGGAAATGGCGCAAAGAATGTTGCCTCTGAACGCCAGCCATATGCATTTTAATTGGTAGAGGTAGAGTATAGAGTCTCCATCTGTCATTCACCGTTGAATAAATCTGTGGGAGAAAGGCCAAGATAATTAAAGGAATGTGAAATAAAGAAAGAGATTTGATTGCCTCAGAAAGAACACTCGTATCATTTGTTTATTTTAACAATTCACTGGTTCGATCAAAGTTTCAGATGGAAAAAATAAATTGCCTAATTACAGCTGTAAAGATTGATTTGGACAAAAAATGTTTTCAAATAACTTTTACTAATAAAATGCGCAGGATTTTTCATATTGTATTTTCTCCAGAAAATTCTCTTCCAAATTGCACGCGACAAAACTGGATACTGGTGACAAATCGATGTTTTTGTTTTTACCTATTTAATAGTTTTTGTTGCTGTTGTTTTATTTATTATTGCTTTTTTATTAATGTGGCTCTGGATCAACAGTGTTAGAAGGCATTTTATAGTGACACTCCACACTTAACAACATACTGGTTTAACGCCATTCCGGACGGAGTACGAAGTACGAAATCTCATGAAATGAAAAATAAAAATACAAAATTTCGACCATTCGGTATTTTATGATGTACGAAAATTTTAATTGTGATTGTTTTCTCTTTCTTCAAAATAAATGATTAAACTGAAAATTAAATCGAAGACTTATTTGTACTCTCTTTACAGTATTCAAATCGATGTACAAAATATTAAGCTAAATTTCGAATTTGTTTATCCCGATTAATGTTCAGTATATTACTGTACCGTATAAACATTGAAAAATAAACATCTATATAGCTTCTATAGTGTAGTTGATATATATTGGGCAGTGCCAATGCAAAAAAAAAAAAATCATCACAGAGAACTGTGGGTGGATATTATTATTTATAATGCATGCTATGTTTCCTGCTTTGTATCCTGTAGAGCCGGATCATGTAGGAGAATTTTCATTTAATTGATAACACTTTACTTAGTATATCTTCCTTTTCTCACGAGGCTCAAAGCTACGATTAGCATTGGTACAGTCACAGTATTCATTTCCCACATCATGTTAATTTCGATGCCCCAGTCCTTGTAATTGGACAATTTCTTGATAATTTTCATGGAGGTGTTTCTTTCAGATGGTATCGCTATGCCAATAACCATGCAATGCCAATAACCATGCACTTGCTGAATTCTTTGTCTTTTATAATACTATCTGGTTTGTTGTCGTTTATCTCACTGTCAGTTTTGAATTGGCATGTACCAGAGGATAGTTACATCGTTATTCTGCTAACTGTGTCTCTTTGGTGCACATGCATCTTATCTTGCATATCTTCCAGTGCAAATATGTCGCTACCGTGTTATGTCTGTGGATATATTCATTTTTTGCCAGTTCCGGACATTCTGGGATTATATAGTCGACAGTTTCATCATATTTTCCGCAGATCCTGCCTTTTCGGTTAGTTCCATCGTTGATTATATGACAGTGATAGGATTTGGTTGCGAGGCTTTGATCCTGAATTGCAATAATTAAGCCTTTTGTCTCAGTTTTCAGCCCAGTACTCCGCAGCCACTGATATGTTTTCTCGAGGTCCACATCTGCTTCTTTCGTTCTTTTTACGCATTTGCCATGCAACGCCTTTTTCTGGTAGTTTTTTTTTATTTTATTTTGGTAATTTCATTTGGCCAAGTTGTTTTTCTTTCTGTTTTACTTGTTTGTCGTAGATGGTATTCGCTTCGTATTTTGTTGGTAAGATTTCAGCTGATTCTTGAAGAGTGCATCTTCTTTGTTCATTGAATGGATTTGGAGTTTTACTATTTGTAGGAGACGGCTATTACATTTTCTGAGGTAGGCTTCTAGTCCAATTGTTGTAGTTTTTAGAGTTAGTTCAAGTTGGATTAGACCTCGGCCTCCTAAAGCTCTTGGTACATACAGCCTATCAACATCTAATTTCGTGTGGTTCATTCTCATTTGGGCAAGCGCTTTTCTCGTCTTGGCGTCCAATCTTTTAATCTCAACTTCCATTTAATAATATTAAAGCTGCATTTTATTACGAATTGATGTCGATTGGTCTCAATGTTAATCCGTTTGTATGCTTTAGATTTCGTGTAATCTTCCAGTTTTGGTTGCTCTGCGTTATGCATTTGACCATTGTTGGGCATACTCCTGTATATGTTTAGTCTCTCCTTTATCTATGTTTCTTTGTTTTCACCTCTTTCAATATTGTAATTAGTTGGTCCTTGCACCGGTAACTTCCCCTTTTGCATCCCTTCTGTTCTGCTCGGAGTAAATTATTTTTCGCAAGGAAGTTGTGTGTCCTCTCGGTTATAATAGAAGTGATAATCTTGTACATTGTTAGTAGGCAGGTGATGGGCCTATAGTTCTTCGGGCTCTGTGCATCTATTTTTGGGAGTAGGTCTCTTTCTCTCCACGTGAGCCATTTGGGGCATTTTTCTGGGTTTATGGTTATATCATTGAATGCGAGGTCTTGGCGGTTGCTATATAGGTTTTTTGTCTCAAAATTGGCTATTCGGTCTATTCCTGATGCTTTCCAGTTTTTGCAGATGGCGGCGGTTGTTTTAGTAATATTGATTTTAGTGTGTTGTTCCTGTTGTTGCTTGAGCTATGTAACTCTTTCATTATACATCTTACAGTTTTTCCCTGATGTTAAACCAGAACTTCTCGACTTCCTGAATATTAGGTGGGTCATTTATCTCTATTTTATTTTTTCCAAGTTTTCGATACATTATCTTGGTATCTTCTTTGAAGATCCTGTTTTGCCAGAAAAAAATCTGTTTCTTTTTTCATAACGCCTGATTCTCTGTGCCTTCGCATGAATTTCTTGTTTCAACTTCTCTTTAACTTTTGATACGTTAGTCTTATTATGTCAATGGCTCCATTTCAGATGTCTCTTTTTTCTTTCTTTCCTTTTAGAGCCCTTGTCTATTTTACTTAGAAGTGACAATTGTCCTCATAGTTTATTTATTTCGGTTTCTATTTTTCTTTCCAGACCATCATTTTTATTTTTCGGGTTTTTCTTTTCCTCCTATTGTGTTTCTGTGATCATGGCCGAGCCTGCGTATATATGATGATTCATTTTTGTCAAGTTCATCGGTCTTTCCATTTCATTCCTTATTTTTCTAATTGCTTGGTTACGAAGGTTGATGATTTCCTTCACTTTTTACTTTTCGAATTGTCGGACATTTTTTTTTTACATTCCCTCTTTTATATCGGATCGTTTTGATATCTCTATTTCTCTCTTATTTTCATCATTATCTTCCCCTATTGAGAGAGATTATTACATCTGGTTTCTATTTGTTCCTCTGCATGTGTCTCCTCTGAGTTTTTGGCATTTAGTCCCTCAATGTTAACATTTAATCTATTTTTGATGTTTCTCGGATGCTTTCAAGTTTTATATCAGGTATTCCTTTTTTCCTGATGATGTCACGTCTGGCATTGGCTAGTTTGTTGACATCGATATTTACTCTGTTTGAGGGGTGCTCTTCTCGCCAGATATTATAGGCGGCTTTCGGCTTTGTTGTCACCGTGGGATTTATCGTAGCGGTGTAAAAGCCTATCATTACTTCAATATAATCTTCTCTAGATCATATATCTATCGTTCTTTTTGAGACTACTCAGTCTCAGCCACCATATTTCTGTTCTTTCTGTAGCTTTGATTGTTCTACCTCTGTGTGTTGTAAAGTCCTATAAAAATCCTCTTCACTTTTCTCAGATTGACACCCAAACACGCATTGGAGTTCCCGCCGCGAAAGAAACTGCAGCTATGCTGAACAGACCTTAGATACAGTTTCAAATCTCGTGCTTACCCCGGTCGTCGGGCGCATAACGATTTCAGTTTCTTTCCACCTCTCTCTTTCCATCGCTCTCTCTTTTCCGTGCTGGTATCCGCTACATTACACATACATCTTAATACATACGTATACTTGATTGACTGATCTGTTTCTGATGGCTTGGCAACATCCTGAAGGTTATCTGTGAGATAAAGAGCACCATGACGCAGATATTTGGAAACGGCATGCTGTACTGCTCGTCTTTCGCGAATTGCTAGATAACATGCTCTCTCTCAGAAACTGTAACTAAGGTCTGTTCAGCATAGCTGCAGGGTCGCTATTATACAGTGAAAATTTTAGCTCAAAATACAAATAATAATTATCTAAGATTACGGAGTTATAGCCCAATCTGCACATATCTAAAACCTCGTAGTGTTTATGCCTTCTCCCAGGTCATAAGTGAAAAAGCGAACTCAGCCCGCTAGCCCAGAATTTGGACGCGGCTCGTTAATCCCACTTTCTGTGCTGGTATCCGCTACATTACCAATACATCTTAATACATACGTATAATTGATTAACTGATCTGTTTGTGATGGCCTATCAACATCCTGAAGGTTATTTAAAGCCAGAAAATATTTTTTCATTTGTAAGAATTCTTTTTGGCAGATAAGACTGTTTTATTTATATACGTCCTACTAATTAAAGCTTGGCTGGGGGAGAAGAGGTGAATTCATGCCTTTCGCAAGGGTACTTACGCGTAAGTAATTATAACGAACCCGACTGTAATTGGATCTCGGTTCTCCAACTTCCCATTCCGAGCCGTTATACATGACACCAACTGCACATCCAGGCTTACAGCACTTGGTATTCCCAAGCGGTCACCCATCAAGATACTGACTAGGTACGGCGTTGTTTAACTTAACGGTGATCGTATGAGAACCAGTGTTTGAACGTGTTATGGCCGTAAGCCTTACGTATACTTGAGTCAGTATCTATTTACGAATAACACACACACACACACACACACACACACACACACACACACACACACACACATATATATATATATATATATATATATATATATATATATATTAGAGATTATTCCAGTTCTTATCGGATCATCATCTTCGCACCATTTTCTTGTCTCTTTTGATGAGAAGACTGAATATTCACATTTTATGGTTGCTAAGAGATGATATGAGTCTTTAAAGATACTGTTTGGACAAGCACGTTTGTTTTTTTTATTTAACTTTTGCTATTTTTATTATATGCAGGTTGATTATGTGTGAAATAAAATCCTAAAAGACAGAAGGATGAAAAAAACAAACAAACCTGAGTTGAAAGAAAATCGAAATAATGTAGTTATATTAGCAAAGTCAACCATCTAAAAAAAAATGGGGAAAAATCGTTATGCAGATGCAAACAAAATCCCTTAATGTTTTAATATCTGTAGCCATAGCTCTGTGTCAGATTTTTTTTTAATAATAATAAAGCATCACGGATAAATATTCCTACCTACAGAGGAACGTTCAATTACGGCAATTTATTCGCCAGGAATCATATGCGTATCAATTATTACCGATATTTTTTATGCTCTGTCCATTCAGGGCGTGGATGATCTTGGCTCACCAAAAAGCATTTTTCTTTCGGTAAATTACCGTAAATTGGTAAAAGGCAGCGTAGTGACTTCTATTTGCCCTCTTAACAATTTTCTACTTAGGGTTTTCCTTCACCTCGACTAATTTCCAAACATCTCTCCCATTATTATTTTTTATGCACCAAGTACCTTCAGGTCATAGGTGACCATGGTTCTCCACATCGTCTTGACCTCTGCAGCTCTTAGAAAGTTTTACGTTTTTGCTATCTGTCCCAAATCCTTGTTTTGTCAACAGGCTCGTTAGATAGGTTATTCTCTGCTTTTCTCTTTCTCTCTTTACATATATTGTAATATTGTCCTATGAGTAACATAGTCAGCAAGCCCTCTTTCCTCATTATATGCCCTAGGAATTACAATTGTCAATTTTTGATGTTATATATAAGTGTCCATTTTGTTTTTGTTTACATTTTTCCAGAATTTCGACGTCGTTAACATGTCCAGTTCATGACATTATCAGCATCCTTCTGTAGAACAAGATTTTTGTTGCCTCATATCTTTTCATCTGTGACGAATTTTTCTAACATTCACTGTCATATAAGAAGAGGACATTAGATAAGATTTTGATATCATTTCCTTTGTTTCTAAACATTTTTCCTATTTCTTACTACTTTGCTCAACTATTGGAAGGATTGTGAACTACCTATCTCAGTAGATTGAATAAAGGGTTCGTAATTTCTTGAAGATTATCTGGATCTACAAGAACCCGATAAAGACTGGACGGCATAACAGTCGAAACTTTGGGTTGATAATAGTCTGTCTGTAAATAATGTAAATAAAGGATTTTGTGGAAAAACGTGAACATAAAAAAGAAAAGGAAAAATGAGAAAAAGAGATATCTTTCATAACTTTTCAAATTCAGTATTTAACCGAATTTATTATGAAATTGGAGGCACAATGGAGTCATGGATAACAGCTCGGATTGACGAATCGGAGAAACGTGTTCAAATTCCGGTCGTGTTCATTGCATTCATTTACCTGCTAATACTTTTGGGAAAGGCATGAAGCCATCTGTCCCCTCCCCCTATGGGTAAATAGCAGGACAGAATGGGCCTCATAGCCATGGTTGGCAACCAGTCTGAAAGCAGGTAAACGGAATTCAAACTAGCCTGGAGATAGTTGTCTTGCCCAAGAAATACAATTGCTTTTGTGGTTGCAGTAGATGCGGTGCTCCTACGACCGTAGAGATTATGGGATTCGTGATTGTAATTATGAATGAAAATCGCTATTTCCATGGCAAATGTTCAGATGAGATCTACACTTTATTTCCACCAGTTCATTTCCTCCATATTTCATTTATAGGGGGAAAGCTCCATTTAGAAAGTTTTTCCAGGAACTTGCTACTCTGTGAGACAAACTCCCACGTGGATGCTTCTTTATCATTACAATATTAACCTCTTTAAAGGAAGGGTTAATCGTTATCTAATCTTTTTATCTTCAAAATATTTACTTCCATATTCTTACTCTTAGATAAAACTCGCACTTTTCATTCAGGAACCCCTTACTACGAGTGACTCTTGGGCCTTGTATTCGTTGAATTTAAGAGTAAAAAATAAGCGTGTATATGGGAACAGGCATTTTTCTTTTGTAATATATTTCCTGAGTGATTGATAAATCGATTGAGATGTTAAACGTCGTTTTTGTTCACACACTAAACCCCTGGTGAAAATTCGTATGTGAATAAAAAAAAAAGTAAGAAAAAACAGACTGCCTTTAGGAATTATTATTATTGTATAGTTATTTGGATCTTTGATTTTTTTACACCAGTAGAAACTGGCGGTTTTCACTACAGACCAAGTGACAGCATGTCTACTTTATACCCCAGCGCGCTTCTCACTAATTATATCCCAAGAGATTTCGTGTTTTCCTTGTATTTCCGGTTATCGCTACTTCTTTGCAAGGATTTTCGTAATAGCACCAAAGTTTCAACTCTGAACCGACTGTTCGATTAAACTCTCTTCCTACGGACGGGAGGAACCCGAAGGAGGCTACGCCGAAGGGCAGAGTCTCCTTCGGGGAGGTAAAACCGGCCCTGAACTCGTTTATACGGGTTCAATGGGCATATTTTTGGCCGAGCCCACGGGATCGGAATGTCCACGTTAAAAAGGCCTTGTGCCACATGACACCCTCGTGGGGAGTGGGTGACTGAATATCGTCAGTTATGTGCCATGCGTTATACACGCTTAGGCGATAATGTATCTTTCGAGGCATTTTTTCTCGCAGTAGGTTGCCATTTCTTTCTGCGGTAGATCAGTTGCTATTTACCGATAGCTGTGGGAGGGAGTGGATGAGAAAAAAAAGGATTCATAATGGTATTAGCATGTAAGTGAATGCAGTGGATTCGACTGGAATTCGAACTCGGCTCTCCGATTCTTCAATCCGAGCCGCTATCCGTTACTCCATCGTGCCTGCCAATAATGGGTACCACTGTCATATTCATGGTTCACACTTTTTTCACTTGTTTCTAAATTATGTTTTTTTTTTCATTTTTTGATCATACAGAAATAGCAATGTCTATAAATTGACACAGCTCTTGGTTCATGCCGACTCAATCTGACCATATAACCCGGATTGGCATATCATTTCAAATATTAGAATTTTTTATGCATATGTTTGTTGAACGGCATATCAAGTCCTTATGGGTCATTTAATGCCAAAATTTAATTTTTAGGGGAGCTTTGAAATAATAAAAATCAAAATTGAATAAATGGTAGATGATAATCAGCTTTGGCGCATATACATGTTTACGGGGACATGATTACTAGGAGGGGGTTAGCTGTATTTATTTTGTAGTTTTGTTGTAGTTATTTTTTGGAATACAGTTTGATTTCTTTTAAAATAATGTCGGATATTATATGGATTAATGTCATGATAGCCTTTCATGTTAGTTGGGTGATTTTGTTTACCCTATGGGTTATTTAATGCTGAAATCTATATATTTCGAACACAGTTTATGGATTCAACTAAATATATTTTAAACGTAATTGTATACCTTCAACTACAGATAAAATGTATTTGGTAATTCTATAAATTTGTACTCTTATGCATTCACAGCGTTTTGTTTTTGTTTTCAATATTTGCCCATAGCGTGGATCCTAAAAGATGTTAACACTTCAGGTCAGGGTGAATCGGGAAACAACAGCAATTAAGAGGTGCTTCTACGCTCCTCAAAAACTCCAATCTCCCGATCAGATACCGGATATCGTCATACCCAGGCTTTATTAGAATATTAAGATTATTATCCTCAATTATAGATTTGGGTCTGGACATATAACACTGCTAAGGTATTTGTACAATTCCCTGCCAATGATTGTTTTCTCTAAATGCTACTTACTGTATTTTCTTTATAATTCAATTAAATGTATCCAACTGGGAGAATATGCTTTTGTCTTTACACAAGCAGCATTTCTTCCGTTTCAATTTTGCCTATCATAATTTTAATAAAGTCTGCTCTCAGATTTTTTTCTTGGATGCTACGAATCAGTATTCCTTTTTTAATCTTTCTCTTTTTGTAGCGATATGGCCATTTTTGTTACAATAATCCTTTTAGCTTTAGTAAAGATTTAAAAAAAAAAATCTTCAAATATACTTAAAATACACAGAATACTCAAATGGATTGAGTATAATTTAAACCAGCTTGGCCATGCGAGCTAAAATCATTTGTTACTTACACTTATGTAATAAAAATTCTACTAAACCATATTTACATATGAGATAATCAACTTAAACAAAGAAAAGTTGTTTTTTAAATAATTGTGACTGATGATAAAAAGAGGATACTTTACAACAGCCTGGAATGCTAGAGATCCTAAACCAACATTATTCCTATCAAAAACCAGTCTTCATCCCAAAAAGTTGATGTTGTGTATGTGGTTGGAAAGCAAGAGAGACTCTTTATATGATCTCTGTCGGGAGGACTACGCAATTGTTACGAACAATACAGTTCCTTGTTAGATTAATCGACTACAGCGATCGGCTATAGTTAACAGAATGGACATCGTATTTCTGCAGCATGCCATTAGAATACGTGTTTCTTTGGTGAGCTGATCACTGCAATATGTTGAGAAGAAGAGAAGTTTCTTTAACAAAGGCCAAATTCAGGAGATTATTGAAGACTTTCTCACATCAAATCTGCGGAATTTTACTCAAACGGTATCGATAAATTACCTGATAAGTGGCGAAAATACATTGCAAATTGTGGTGAATATGAAATTGAATAAAATGTAATTATTTTTTGAAGAATAAAACCAAAATATAGTATGCTATGGGAAAATTTTGTAGGCAAAGTCAGTGTTCATCGTATTATTGGA